TCCCATTCTTTCCTCATTCATAGGAGTTGTGCTCTTCTTCCTCTTTACTCACTTGCACCCTCCTTTCCTGGCCCCCCCGGACTTAAACATGTGTACCTCACGGTCTCTTTCCCTGCCCTTCCTGCACTCACACCAATGCATCCTAGAGTGGACCATCTTTCCCTGGCTTCCCTGCATTTGCACTCACACATGCACTCCACACGCTCTTTCCCTGGCTTCCCTGTGCTCATAACCCACTGCAGCACTCTCCAATTCGTGCACAACCTGCACCAAGATTCACCCAACTCTCACCTGGGACTCCTTTTGCTTCCTGCTTAATGACCCACATGTTGTGGGGTTACAACAGTCGGGATTTTCTAGGTTGCCATTGCTAAGTAATGCGCTCACATGTCACACTTTATTACCACATCACTTAGTGAGGACAATCTTGGTCCTAACAGCCGTCATAACTTGAGGACGACTTGTACTGATAATAATCCAGAATTTACAACCATTTGTTTAGTGATTGTTCAGAGTTACAACAGCACTGAAAAAAGTGACTTATGACCATTTTTCACACAACCATTGCAGCATCCCCATGGTCACATGAGCAAAATTTGGGCGCTTGGCATATGACATGTATTCACAATCTTTGCAGCATCCCAGGGTTATATGATCACCATTTGTAACCTTCACAGATGGCTTCCAACAAGCAAAGCCAATGGGGAAATCCACATTTGCTTAATGACCACATGATTTGCTTAATAGCTGCAGTCACTCTTTTAACAACTGTGGCAAAAAAGGTTATGAAATGGGGCAAAACTCACTTAGGAACTGAAATTTTGGGCTCAATTATGATCTTAAGTCAAGGACTATCTGTAGCACTATTCATGAATTAACTTCCTCAAGATTAAATTAGATATTTAATTGATTCTTTCAGTTTTAAGCAAGTCTTCTCAGCCAGTGAATTGCAACTGCTGACTGGTTTATAAGTCCAGGCTGCTCCAATTCCAGTAGTGGTGAAAGACAGGAATGGAAGAACCTTATACAACAGGGATCACAAGCCCCGGGCCGCAACCCACGAGTGGGTCATGGCCTGTTCGGAAGTGGGCCAAGAGAAACAGGCACACACATTTGCACAAGCTGCTCACACAGAACCATCCCCTCCCCCCCATCGATCCACCAAGCTGGAAAGCAATGGCCATAGTACTTAGACTTACCGTATTTTTTGGAGTATAAGACGCACCTTCCCCCCCCCCCCTAAAAGAGGGTGGAAATGTTGATGTGTCTTATACACCGAATACAGCCATTTTTGGCCTCCCGAAGCCCCACCCCACTTGTTTTATTTTTGTGAAAATCAGGCCCATTTTTCATCTGATCTTTGCAAAAACAGGGGTGTTTTTGCCCTCCCCCAGCCTCCAGGAGCACTCTGCAGGCCTCCCAAACCCTCTGCGTGCCTCATTTTTCACAAAAACGGGTGACAAACGGGGCGCGCAGAGGGTTTGGGAGGCCTGCAGAGTGCTCTTGAGGGCCAGGGAGGGCAAAAACTTTTTTTTTTAATTTACCTCTTCGAAATCTTGGTGTGTCTTATATACCGGTGCGTCTTATAGTCTGAAAAATATGGTATCTACTGCTTTATAGTGCTTTACAGTCCTGTCTAAGCGGTTAACAGAGTCAACATATTGCCCCCAACAATCTGGGTCCTTTTACCCAACTCGGAAGGATGGAAGGCTGAGTCAACCTTGAGCTGGTCAAGATCGAACTCCTGGCAGTCGGCAGAATTAGCCTGCAATACTGCATTCTAACCACTGCGCCATCACGGCTCACAGAAAGGTTGGGGACCGCTGCTCTAGAACTTAAACTCCATCTGAATTTTGGCCCAATCCTATGACTCTTTTGCTAAAACATCATTAGCATTTCTTTATTTCTTTCCAAGGTCTATTTGTTCTTTAGAGTCATCATCACACTTAGCTGCTGGTACACAATTTCAGAGTCTCATAAAAATAATGAAACAGATATTAATATTTATGGCTGTAAAAATGTAATTTAAAGCATCTAAATTTCAAATTGATTTAGAACCACTGCATTACACTTTGCCATTCTTAACATTTACAGTAAAACTATAGTAAATCATCTCACACACACACATAATATAGAATAAGGAGTGACAGAATTTATTTTATATTTTTATTTTGTCTTGTTTTAGCACATTTTGGGCAAATTAAAATCCTGAAATTGTATCTTTAGTATATTTTGGATCTGGGGAAAAAGTTGCCATTAAGGCAAGAAGCTGTAAGGAGCTAATATACTGCATTTGTCCTTTCCTTTCCCAGATTTTCCAAGATATTTTTGGCATGGGTCTTATCATTTTGGTAGCCATTGGTTTCAAGACCAAGCTTGCTGCTCTTACTCTGGTCATCTGGCTTTTCATAATCAACCTGATCCAGAATGCCTTCTGGCACATCTCCAGCTACAGCCCCCTTCATGATTTCCTCAAGTATGACTTTTTCCAGACCATGTCTGTCATCGGTGGCCTGCTGCTTGTTGTGGCATTAGGACCTGGGGGAGTTTCCATGGATGAGCACAAGAAGAAATGGTGAAGATGGACTGTATAGGCTTTAGTGGGAGGGCGGGGGAGGGTTGGGAGGAAAAAGGGAGAGGAGATAAACTACTGCTTTTACAACCTGTGTAATCTTTGACTCTCTTGAGATTTATCATAGTTCACAGTTGCCTTATCAGGGTAGGAAAGCTTTTGTTTTCCACCCTGTTTGAGACATGTAAATTAAAATCAAATTATATATGCATATGTATTGATCTTGTGGTTTTTAAAATTTCCACCTTCAAAATCCCAAAACTTCCTGAAGCATTTTTTTTAAAAAGAGAGAGATTATACCAATTATTCAAATTGATCTTCAGACAGGGAAAATTAAAAGTGACACAAGTGATTTTTACTGTCTTTGAATTTGAGCTAAAAAATTGAAGCAATAATGAAATGATAAATTTTACGTTGTTGAAATAACTGCAGTGCCACTTTAAATTGTGGGAATAATAAAACATGGAAAAATTCAAATCGAGGCACGTTTTACATCTGCTGTACCATCTGTGATTTTAATTTCCTGTCTGTTTTCAGAATACAGATAGCAGACTGCATGACTATGCCTACATTTGTTGTATTAGGTTAATATGTGATCACATATTGGCTGATCAGGGTCAGAAATAGGCCTGATCCAGCTTGAAGTACAAAGAAAAAATGACCCCTCTCCACACAAACACTCATGGGAGGGACAATTGAATAGAGATTCAAAATGCTGCCAGTTTCTTCATTCTAAGCCCCCTTCCATTTCTCTCCTGGTCAGGTGACCCAGAGTGAACCACGTGCAATCTGTCTTGTGCTTCCCAATGCACATACACATACATCAATGCCACATGAAAGCAGAAACATATACCTGTATCCACCTTGATTAAATACTCCCACATACCCATATGTATGCACCTGCCCCAATTAGGTCCTCACATATACACACAGAGGCAACATGTTTTTTTCTTCTACAGAATATAATACCACTTGAAGCAATTTGTGGCAAAGAGGCTGAAAAGAATTTCTGAAACCATGCTCTGCAGGCTTTCTCTGAACTGACAGCACAACTTAGTTGTACTAAGAAACTGGACAAAATCTATAAGGGAGTTATTGTAGTTTGCACTTCAACTGACAAAGAGGTCTACTAAACTTTAATTGAACTGGGATTGGCCTACTAGAGCATATCTAAAAACAAAAAATTGTAGGTTGTTTGAAAAGTATTGAAATGGTTTTTCACAAATGCTATTGGGAATCATAACTGATAAGCAATGAGCAATATTTGCTCTCCCTTCCAAAGTTAGTTTTAAATATACTATTTGTAAAAAAGAATCATATGCATCATTTATAAGCTATTCAGTTCAATATGAATAAAAATGATCAAATATCAATTACTTAAAGAATTCCCCTTGGAAACCAAATTAGGCTAGATGTCTGTAACCTTTATCTGAACAGTTTTTTAAAATGTTACCTTCAATAAATTTTATCACACCCTTTTTTTTTTTACAAAAATGCTAAACCCAGTTGCTTGATGTAGCCTAGGCTAAATTTAGACAATCTGAGTCGGAATAAACACCCCATAAACTCAATCGGAGAGTCAGTTTGGTGTGGTTAAATTACCAGACCAGACACATGGGAGACTACGAGTTCTAGGCACAAGGCCAGTTGAGTGACCTTGGGCCAGTCACTTTCTTTCAGCCCTGGGAAGAAGGCAATGGCAAGCCTCTTCTGAAATCTTGCCGAGAAAACTAATTTTCTGTTAGTCCAGGCAGTCGCCAAGACTCCAAAGCACAAAAAAAAAACCCCACCCACAAACCCTTCAATAGGGGGCTTATTTCCTAACGAAATGCATGCCGGCGGATAGCTGTAAACATAATTGGATATTAAAACTACAAACAGATATCTCTGTAATAAAAGTTCCTCAACTAGATTTGGGTTCGAAGACAGCAACGTTCCGATTTGCTCTGCGGTTACCATACTTCCAAAAAAGGTAAAGGTTCCCTTCTCGCATATGTGCTAGCTAGTCGTTCCTGACTCTAGGGGGCGGTGCTCATCTCCGTTTCAAAGCCGAAGAGCCAGCGCTGTCCGAAGACGTCTCCGTGGTCATGTGGCCGGCATCACTAAACGCCAAAAGTGCACGGAACGCTGTTACCTTCCCACCAAAGGCGGTCCCTATTTTCCTACTTGCATTTTTTACGTGCTTTACAACTGCTAGGTTGGCAGAAGCTGGGACAAGTACCGGGAGCTCACCCCGTTTCGCGGCACTTAGGGATTCGAACCGCTGAACTGCCGACCTTCCGATCGACAAGCTCAGCGTCTTATCAAAAGGTACGCCTTCGCCAACTCCTTCCCCTCCCGGGTCATTTGACTACAATTCCCATAATCCCAGGCAGGCTCTTCGAACCTGCCATTGCCTTTTTGTTGCCCAAAGGATTCAAAGAACTACCTCCTCTCGGACCCAGCGCCTGCCCGCTTGCCGGCAGAAGCAACCTACGGTACTCTCGCGAGGAGAAGCCACGCAGAAACAGGATCCGGCGCCGGCAGCTAGATCGGGAGTCAAGCTGTTCTGGCGCGACCTGATGATGTAATCCGAAAGAGGCGGAACCAAGAAGAGCAAGCCAAGGGACGGGGAGGTTAGTGGACCAGTGCCCCCCCCCTCGCCGTTTCCCTTTAGGATTGTCCTCCTTATCCCGGTGGGGGCATATTCGGCTAGAAACCAGACAGGTTCCTCTCCATTTTTGACCAAGCCTTAACACCGCCCCCATTCTTTCGGGACGGACAGAATGGGGATCCTTCCCTGGACAGTGGACACCTTATTGTTGGGCGTGTAGACCCCACATTTGAGGGCACGAGTGGGGTATGGTGTTGGCTCATTTCCTTCTGATGACTTTGGAAAGGGGATGGGGGAGTGCCTTGTTTGTGGGGACTGCTTCGTGGACGCGTACTGTAGATAGGAACTTTTCCCAAACGGATGTCCCTCGTCTTTTGCATTGCAGTATCCTGATTACCAACCAACTGGAGATGTTGGGAGTTGTATTCCCACCTTTCTGAAGTGCCTGAAGTAAGTGGTGATGGATATAACCATAAGGCAGGATTCACAACAACGCAGCGTGTTTCAACTTGTCAGTTAAAGGTGTTGGGGCTGCATTTGAGCCACCAGCTAAACTTGCTGATTGTGAAATTGTTTATAAACCCTTTCCTAATAAAATCCAAGTATTATGCTAATGTGTAAATCTATAATGGGTGACCATATTTTGGAAATTGTGAAGGAGTTGGAACAACCTTCACAACCTTGGTGCTTCCAAATTACGTTGGACATTAACTTCTATTATTTGCGTAACAATTGAGGATTATGGGATTGATGTCCAACATAACTGGAGGTCATGCATATGAAATGGCCTTATGGCACATTAGTCCTGAAGAACTGTATGCTAGGAGTATTATATGGATGTTGTAAATGTATTCATTGAACTCATACGCTTAATTTTGATGTAGGATGATAGATAAAACCTAAGGCTTTGTAAAAGATGTTAGCTTTGAAAAGGTAGTTTTGTTCAGGGTCATGGAGAATTGTTCTTGGAGATTTGAGGGTTGTTTTTTAACCTATGATTGCTTAATGGATAATTTAATGGAAAGTGTTATATTCAGAAATAGTGTACACTTAAATATTGGAAGCCAGCAACAGGCAAGAAGAGTCAACTTCATTCCCTGCTTTTAGCATTTTAGAGGCATCTTGGTAACCCATCTTTGTGAGATGAGTAGCAAACAAATTTAATAAAAATAAATAAAATAAAATCATAGCTGTAAATGAGAAGAATTAATTCAGATCCATAATTAAGTTTTTGTGATACCTCTACCATATTTTTTAAAAAACTTCATTGTTGCATAGACTGTTGCTAAGCAATACTAAAGGTCTCACAATGCTCAGAGGCATAGTATTGTGTATTCATTACATGTTCTGTATTGGAATTATGGCATCAAAAGCAGGTTGTTTTGCTGAGACTAGCTAGCTCCAAAAAGAGGCTTGCGTGCTCCAAAAAGTGATGTTTTTTCATTTCAAGGGAATCCTAGAAATAACATTCTCTAGTTTTTCTCCTAGACTATCACTCTTGCCTGACTAAAGCACTATCACCATGGTAAGTGGATGCAGCATTTTGTATCAAATCCATAACTGCAATTTCTCTTCCCTCTTGAACCTCATGAGGATAGATCCAACTCCTTTTGCAACATATATAGTTACAGCTTACATTTAATAGCATTTATCCAATCCCACATGGAAATCTTATTTCACAATCAGGGTCTCTGTGGAAATTTGACTTTGCTACAAACGCATTAATAGCTGTCATGGTGCTCTGTGCTGCCAAATATGAGCTAGTCCTTAATTTGCAAGAGTACCTAGAAGCCTGTGGCTTTTTTTGTCAAAGATTGTGATGACTATAAATGAAATAATGAAAAATACTTATTAAAGGGGTGCTTCCTATTTGGCAGTTTGGGGACTGAATCTGTGGTGGTACCATTTATATAAATTAACCTACCTCAGTCTGGAGAATGTTTATGCTCTTCAAATTGCTCAATTTACTATTAAACAACATGGCTTTGCCCTTGGTTTCTCACAGGGGGAAAGGAAAGGAGTCAACAAGTATTACCCACCTGATTTTGATCCAGCCAAGGTAAGAGGTCCATCTGGAATGTTGTAGTAGCTCAAGTTTGGGGGTGGGGGGGTGGGGGTGGCATATTGGGTCATAAAAAGGAATTTAAATAAATAGGGTTTATGCAGGATAACTTCCTATTGGATGGTGTATTTACAAGCTAAGATACAGGGTCAGTATTTGAATAGTGTCAGACACTTCAATAAGATAAAATAGAATTAAATGTAAGGGTTAAACTTTCTGGATTCTGTTTTTATGTATAGTTGTATAATTGAAACATCCACATAAGTGGAAAAGGAATTTCAGCCTTTTTGGCTCTTTTTTCTTCTTCTCATACCACAGCCAACAACACAGGCTTTTAATTGTTACCAGATATAGGTGGAAAGGTTTATGAAAGTAATATCTATGTACAAGAAGCTTAACCGACTTTATCAATCTTGCAGCATGGCTCCCTTAACAAGTATCGCAATAGCCATCCACTGCGGGAAAGAGCTCGTAAACTGTCCCAGGGCATCCTTATCATCAGGTAAGGCCACCTAGCCACATCTGTACTTAGAGCAGGAATTCTTGGGTTGCTGGAGGCAAGAAATGTTGACTACATCCTAGTCATAGCAAGGGAACATCGGAAGTAGTTCCCTTTCTATTCTTATTGTGCTTGTTCTCCTACTAAGTAAAATTCTGAATGTTTCTGCAACATGCATAAACATGTCACTTCTTTCCCAGATTTGAGATGCCCTATAATATCTGGTGTGATGGCTGCCAGAACCACATTGGGATGGGTAAGTATGGATATATCCCTCAAACAGTCCGGCATATAAGTAGTGATTGGGAGTTACATGCAGGAGAAAAAACTATTACTGTGTGACCACCATTTAGTAGTTAATTAAAGTGATACACATACACATCACTCAGTTTGATTAGATTTCCAACCAATATTTGAAATTCTCTTATAGATTTTTGACAATTTATGCAGTGTCATGTACCAACAATCTTGTAAATTTATAAAAGGTCTCTTAAGGTTATAATTCAATGTAAATTTCAACCCTACTCTCCCATTAGCCCAACTCTTTTTTACTTTTTTTGCCCATTTTATCATACAGTCTTTAACTTGTTTGTCCTCTCTTTCCATTTTCAGTAAGAGTTTATAAATCCTAATAATAATATATTTATCATTTGCAGGGAGCTCTACATCAAGTTCAGTTTACCCTTTTCAAATTCATAATTGCTTTTATCTAACTTAAATCTTTCCATTAACTGAGTGTAAGGAAACCAATAGTATGTGAAAAATTTCCAGCTCCAAGTTTTCTCATTTTTAAGTTAAACTCTCCTTTCTAAAAAAAAAGATCAAGTTAGTATAAGTTTTATCATTTTTGTTTAACTGTAATTTCCCTTCTAAAAAGGCTTCTTGGAGTGACAACTATAAAGAGATTTTATGAGACAGTTTTGCCTCCTATCTATTCCAAATTCTCTATATGTCATGTCAAAAAATGGTTTTTGAAATCTACATTAACCTTAACTTTGTCATACCACAAATAGCTTTGTCATCCAAATGTTAAATCATACCCTTCCAATTCCAATAACCTCTTATTTCTTAAAGTCACCTACTCTTTCATCCAAACTAAACAACAAGCTTAATACAATTTCAAATATAATACTCCTAGGCTCTCTCTTTCTGTAGCATCTTGCAGGAATTTATATTTAATTCTCAGTTTCTTGCCTCGTCAAATAAATTTAGAAATATCAGTCATCAGTATAGGTACTGTCTGAAATAAAAAGAAAAACATTCTAGGTAAAACATTCAATTTCACAGAAAACCTTTCCAACAATGGCAATTGTAATTTTTCCCATCTCAGCATATCCTTTTTAAATTTTGTTCCATATCTTAACATAGTTACTTTAAAACAACATACAGTTCATATTAGTGACAGTAACCCCCAAATTTAACTTTTTCTCAGTTTTAAAACCAGTTTTTTTTCATCAAAACATCTTGATTTTGTATAGTCATATTTTTAACAAATATCTTTGTTTTCTGGTTATTAATCTTAAAACCTGCTACCACACCAAAATCTTTTCATTTTTTCATCAAAGGTTTGATTCCTTTCATGGGAGCCTGTAAAATCAAAACCAGTTTGTCAATAAAATCTCTCAATTTTAAAAACTATTTTTTAAAAATTTTTAGGCCTATTTCTCATGTTGTCTAATGTCTATTCAAAACTTTCAAGAACCAAAACAAAAGGCACAGAGGACAATCTTATCTTGTCCCTTTCGGAATATGACATGGTTTAGTCAAATCACCATTAACTATAATTCAAGCTTTTGAGGGATGTACCGTATATATTGATTTGATTCCATGAATAAAATTCTCAGCATAGTTTAATTCTTCCAGGACTTTAAACAAGACGGACCAATTCAAATTGTCAAAAGCATCTAAAAAAATTAATGTAACTTGTTTTTCATCATTCTGTTGTAGATATTCTACTAAATACAACACAGCTCCCACATTATCTTTTTACTGCCTTGTAGGTAAAATACACATTGATCTTCATGGATAAACTTTCCTAAAAACCTTTTAGCCCGTTTGCCAGAATTGATGAGAACACTTTATAATCACTAAAGCCTCTCTTTTTATCAGCATTTCAGCCAATAGAATTGATTGATATTATTCAAATGTGTATATCCCTTTTCAATTATAACTTCAGAAATAAATCCCCAAAACCCCCAAATTCGATTATAAATCTAGAGTGAATTAGGTAGCATTCCAGTTTATGTAATAAGAAATCAGTAATAATCATGATGCTAAATGTAAAATGTTAAAACAGGAGGAATAGAATTCAAGGGCTTGGAGATCTGAACTCAGTTCTGGGTTGGTGGACTTTTTTTTTT